TCCTATTAAAGACACTTTAACAACAGTATATGAATTTGAATTGATAAACCTCATTTTAGGCTTTCTTGATCGTGCTCATTTTCGGACTACGCAACTTACATGAAGGAAACATTGGTTCAAACAAAGACAGAAACCTGTGCATAGTTGATTTTTTTGTTCCGGATTCTAACAACTTTGTACAACACCGAATATTTGATGCTTTCATGGATTGCAGCGAGTTGCGTGGATTGAAAGAAGTCAGCGGAATTTTGAGTAAAATCGGACATGAAGAGAGAATGAAATACGCCAAGGATGCACTGCCTCGTTGGAGTAGAATCAATAGTATCACAAGCAATATCATTGATATCGAGAAGAATGAATTGCAAGAAAATGAATTACTGTTTNCACAAGCAATATCATTGATATCGAGAAGAATGAATTGCAAGAAAATGAATTACTGTTTGAGACAAACACTACAAACATGTACGCCGTCGACAACTATCTCAGAGATATCAAGTTAAATTATGCATCCATATATTCAGCTTTTCAATAATATTTATTCATGTTTTCTTCTTTTTTTTGTTGGAATTACAATATTACTCATAACAATTGAAATATTGCTTTATCCAAGCTATCATACACCGAGTTAAGATATAATTTGCATTCTTCAATTATTGAGGCGTTAGTATGCGTTAACTCTATATTTCTGTCTTCATGGGATCTTGAGAGTGCTGATATGTAGTTTCAAATGTTTTTCAAACAACCATTTGTTTCTGACTCTTTTCGGGTAGGATAAGCTTCATGATCTTCGATGAACTACCTATTCCAAATGTTTGAGCTGCAACATCTTTATTATACATAGTATCCAAAGTGTAATTTCTTTAAAATAATTAATTTTTTTTTCGAATAACAAAAGCTCCATTCTATATGAGTGCTGTGTCTTTTTACTCCTCGACCTTCTAAAAATATTTCAATGTTTTTTTTCTCTCAGATTAAGCCGCTCCGCAACCTATAAAGTCGCCTACTGCGGCTTG